GGTTCTTCCATTTGCTTTAGCTACTCTCCACTCACAGGCAAGTTTCAGAGTCTCTTCTGACATCCATTTTCATCTTTTTTTCCTTTCCTGTCTTTTAAATGATGTTTTGCCTTCTTCATGTATAGTGTTTTTGATGTCATCCCACAATCTCTCTCATTTTCAGACACTAGTGTTCAATGCATCAAATCTATTCTTTAGATGGTCTCTAAATTCAGGAGGGATATAATCAAGGACATATTTTGGCTCTTGTGGACTTGTTTTAATTGTCTTCAGCTTCAGTTTGAACTTCCATATGAGCAATTGATGGTCTGTTCCACAGCCAGCTCCTGGCCTTGTTTTGGCTGAAGATATTAAGCTTTTCCATTGTCTCTTGCCACAGATGTAATTGATTTGATTCCTGTGTACTCCATCTGGCAAAGCCCATATGTATAGCCACCACTTATGTTGTTGAAAAAAGATATTTGCAATGAATAAGTTATTGGTCTTACAAAACTCTATCATTCAATCTCCAGCATTATTTCCATCACTAAGGCCATATTTTCTAACCACCAGTGATTCTTCTTTGTTTCCAACTTTTGCATTCTAATCACCAATGAAATCAATACATCTTGATTGCATGTTTGGTCAATTTCAGACTGCAGAAGTTGATAAAAAATCTTCAATTTCTTCGTTTTTGGCTTTGGTGGATGGTGCGTAAATTTGAGTAACAGTAGTATTAACTGGTCTTCCTTGTAGGGATATGGATATTGTCCTATCACCAACAGCACTGTACTTCAGGATAGATCTTGAAACATTCTTTGTGATGATGAATGCCACATCATTCCTCTTCAATTTGTCATTCCTGGCATAGTAGATCATATGGTTGTCTGATTCACAATGGTCAAAACCAGTCCATTTCATCTCACTAATGCCTAGGATATCAATCTTTATGTGTTCCATTTCATTTTTGAAAACTTCCAATCTTCCCAGATTCATGTTTTGCACATTCCATGTTCCCATTATTAATGGATGTTTGCAGCTGTTTCTTCTCATTTTGAGTTGTGTCACATCAGCAAACGGAGGTCCCAAAAGCTTTACTCCACCCACATCATTAAGGTTGGCTCTGCTCTTGAGAAGGCAGGTCTTCCCTTGTTGTATTTTGAGTGCCCTCCAACCTGAGGGGCTCATCTTCCAGCACTATATCAGGGCTATTCATAAATATTTTCAGTAATATATCAGACAGCGTTTCACTGCTGCTCATAACGTTTTCACTGACCAGTTCTTTAAGAAGTGGATGGCCCTTTCCTTCTTCTGAGTCTGCCTTAGTCTGGAAGCTCCACTGAAACCCGTCCACCATCAGTAACCTTGCTGGTATTTGAAATACCAGAGGCATAGCCTCCAGCCTCACAGCAACACCCAAGCCACCATAGTATGACAAACTGACAGACAAGTGGTGGAGAACACCATTAAGGAGGCAGTAAGAACGGTTTTGGTGGAGGAAAAGACTTGTGAGAAGCTACTATTCACATGTCTTGAGACTTATGGGAACCAAGATACAGAAGTCAAGGGCTCAGGGGCACCATTCCGGAAGGCTGGATCAGAGCCTGAAAAGCTCCAAGTGAAACTGAGGCAAAAAACACAGACTGCTAAATTGATGTTTCTGTGCTGACTAAATACATACATATTAAAGGTCTCTATTCCTTCCTGCTGAGTATTGCATAGGAAGTGAAGCTTCAAAGTGGCTATCTACTGAACCTACTACTAGAAAATGCATATTCCAACTGTAATATTTTAATTTTATAGCTGCAGAGTTCATTGTTAATAAATGCTTAAAAGAAATATTTTATGAACTCAAAATGAAGCCTTATTTCAAAGGGATGATATTCCTATATTTCTTTATAGATGAATACATAAGGATTGGGAAATTCATTTTCTACCTGTTTTTAATGAAAGATTCAGTCTCTTGACCTCTTTCTTATCACTCCTTTTATTTACATTTATTTATGTGCTCTGTTTCTTTTTCATAATACCATCTCCACCAAGGCAGAGAGCCGACACTCTATTATTCCTAGAAGTTTATATCTGAAAGGTATCCACAAGGATATAAGAGAAGAGAGAAGTAGTAATGGCTGAGAACAGAGAAAAGCTAACAAAATATTAAGAGGCATTTTTGAAAGAATGCATTGTTGAATTTAAGCTTATACTGAAATTCATACTTTAAAAAATATGGATGTTTGAAATACTGAGAGCACTTCAAACACAATAATGAAATTCATCTTATAACCTAACTCAGGAGATGTGAAATGATGTCTAGTTTCCAATAGTAACCCATGTGAGTTTGCTATCTTTTAAGATATGAAATACCCATACTCTAATTTTCTGGGAAGAGAACAAGTTTTGAAAATGAATAGCAGTTATTGTCAAACTGTAAAAGTCTATTCCAAACCAAAGTCAACATCTTGTTGCTAAAATCTACTCCCTCTTGTTGTGTTCCCTAGTTCTGGTAATAGAATCAGCAATCAGAGTCTCTAGAGTTAAACCTCAATCGTATCTCCTCCAATCTTCCTCTCATATTCTCTCTCACATTTCTGCTATCCTTTCCATTCCTACAATGTGCAACTGCAGGGAGTCACTCTGGACTCCTCTCCTCTTATTGCCCACATCTGGCCCATCAGTGAGTCACTATCTGACATACTACGTTGTTGTCATTATTAGGTGCCTTCAGTTTGGCTCCAACTAATAGCAACCCTATATACAACAGTATAAAACATTTCCTGGTGCTGCACCATCCTCACAGTCACTGCTATATTGGACCTCACTGTTGCAGCCACTCTGTCAATCCATCTACTTGAAGGTCTTCCTCTTTTCGCCAATCCTCTACTTTACCAAGCATGAAGCTCTTCTCCAGGGACCAGTCCCTCCTGATAGCATGTCCAAACTACGTGAGATGAAATTTTACCAGCCTTGCTTCTATGAAGCATTCTAGCTGTACTTCTTCTAAGATAGATTTGTTCATTCTCCTAGCAGTCCATGGTATATTCAATATTCTTCACCAACATCATAATTCAAATGCATCAATTTTTCTTTGGTCTTCCTTATTCAATGTCCAAAGATCATCATACTACATATTTTACTTATTTATCTAGTTTATTATTAGTCTCCCTGACTGGAATATAAACTCAAAGAGGCAGGGATTTTTGCCTGCTGTATTCCCATGGCTGAGAAGAAAGCTTGGACCATAGTATGAGCTCAGTAAATTTTGTTAAATGAATGAACCAATAAATGAACAAACAAAAGAACAACTCCAGGTTGGGCTCTCACTGCATCTTTCCTGGTCTCCTGCCAGCAATCTCTACCCACTTTAATCAATCCTACATACCTTGCATCAGTAATTGTCCTAACCCAAATCTGATCCTATTGATACTTTGATTAAAACTTAAGTGACTGCCATCTGCCTAGTGAGGAAAGTCTAATTATTCAGGATGGTACCAAGACCCTTCATAGGCAGGATACCCTTTTCTAATCTCATCTCTTCATATCCCATTCTTATAACTTATGCTATAGACTAGTTTTCTCTAATCTTGTGTAATTTACGAGTTCTGTTTAAAGGAAAAAAAATTCTCATTGACTCTTAAGATCACATCCAGGGACTCCAGTTTGAGAAACACTAATTTAAGAATTGATGTCTTGGTCAATAAAAATGTCTTTTTAAGAATTATTGGTAAAATAATTTTTAATATTTTAACCAAAATGAAACCAAAATTTAGAAGTCTTCATATAACTCATACCCTGAGAATAAATCCATGAACTCCAGTTGCAGAAATACTATTGAACACAAGTGAAACTACCTGCCCATACCAGAAGAGACCTGTGCTAACCTGCCCCCATGCCTTCCTTCCTGCTGTTCCCCTATCCTGGAATATCCTTGCCCTAATTATACTTATCAAAATTCTCCTCATCCTTCAATGTCCTATTTATTTATCACCTCCTTCAAGGAAAAATGAAAGGCACACTAGTGGTGCAGCGGTTTAAGTCATTTGGCTGCTAACCAAAATGTCACAGTTGAACCCACCAGCCACTCTATGGGACAAAGATGAGGCAGTCTGCTTCAGTAAAGATTTACAGCCTTGGAAACTCTATGGGGCAGTTTTACTATAGTCCTATATGGTTGCTATGAGTGGGAATTGACTTGATGACAGTGGGTTTTGTTTTGGCTTTCAAGAAAGAAGCCTTCTTGTTGATAACCTCAGGCAAAACTTCTCTCAGTCTCAGGGCAATTTCATACCTCCTCTATGGCACTGACTAAGGAGCTCTACTGTTGCACTGGTCAAAACATTTGGTGGCTAGCCAAAAGGTCCATGGTTTGAAACTACTAGGTATTCCACAGGAGAATGAGGAGGCAGTCTGCTTCTGTAAAGATTTACAGCCTTAGAAACCCTATGGGGGTTGTTAAGAGTCAGAATTGACTCATTGGCAGTGCGTTTGGTTTTTTTGGTATCACACTAACTAAGGAGCTCTGCTGGTGCAGTGGTTAAGTGCTCAGCTGCTAACTGAAAGATCAGTGACTCGAACCCACCAGCCACTCCATGAGAAAGAGATGCAGCAGTCTGCTTCCATAAATATTATAGCCTTAGAAACCCTATGGAGAAGATCTACCGTGTCATTATGAGTCAGAATTGACTTTATGGCAATAAATTTGGTTTTTGGTTTATAGTATTAACTATATAGTATTCTTGCTTGTGTTATACTATTATTTTCCTGCACTGGATAGCATGCAGATTAACCTGATCTCTGTTTTTTCTACAACACTACTATAGTGGCTTATAGTATAAACATCTGATAAATGTCCTCTGAATTAATCATCATGTAGGGGGAAAAAAAGTGCTTCTCTAAATATGACCTCTAATCATCTTCTTAAAAATGGAACTGTTTATCAAAAGCTTTAACCAAACACATATAATATACTCATAACAAAAGAGAAAAGCATGAGAAACATTTTTAGAGTTATGTATAGAATTTACCTTCTTTTAAGTATTAAGTCTGATATAGGTATGCATCTTAGACCAGTTCCCAAAACCATGAGGAAGGATGTCAGAAGCACAGTTATCCGAAGACCTAAAGGAAAACAAAAGTATTCAGGTTATTTTCTATTTTTTTTTTTTTTCTTTGTGATTTGTGTGAAGATTTACAGAGCAAATTTACTTTCCATATAGCAGTTCACATACACTTTGTCTCATGACATTAACCACAGTTTACCACAATGCAACAGCTCCCCTCCCACTTCCTCCCCATAGTTACCTCTTCCCTGTGTCCATCCCTC